GATCAATACCCAAGCACCGTAGATGAAGGGATGGTGGTGGGACGCTATGAAAACCCGGCGTCCCACCACCGTAGTTTTTCGTGATTAATTTTTTTTTTGCCCATCACGGGTTTTCTCCCTTTCCCGGTTTAAACTCCCTCTTACGCGACAGGGGACGGGGAAGATTTCTCACAAGACGACATATGTGGAAACTGTTTAAAAAAGTTGGAGGAGATGAGATTTTTGTCAAAAATTACGGTAAAAACTAACCCTAATTTCTTTTTCGAGCCTTCTCTGCTCCGTATTCGTTATCTGTTGACGCAGTGCATTGCACGTTAAATCCAGCATTCGCTGCACTCTGTAGAAAAGCACCACTGCTTGGCAGTCAACTTCTGTGTCGTCAAAACCGCGTTTGTAATGCGGATAAAAATCTTGACATTCAATTGCTGTCTGCAATCTTGGCCGCACATGGTAAAAATTAACAAAAAGCCCTAATGATTACACGAAACAAAAAATATTCCTACCTCTAACCGTACCTTATACTGTCTGTGTTTACAGCTAAGGGATGAAACACCGGTAGACCAACTTCCACATATTTCTCTTTACATGACTTTTCAACATGTCATACGGTTTGTGCCACATCAACAGCCCTGCTATCTTTCCCAACATAATCCATTAACTAATCCCACCCCACATTAAAATTTAAGGATTTCGGCCACTCCACACTTTCCACAATTCGGACTAGCCGTTACTTCAGAAATTATGGTTCAACCTACCAACTGCCCCAAAAAATTTTTTTTATCAATTTAACCCACTTCGGCCGTCCCAAATTCACTGTCCACTTCTGGTTCAGCTTTCTAATGGCCGTTACTTACTATTCCAATAGTTGCGGGAAACAACCCAGACAGCAACACACATCAAAGTATCCGGTGCAAGATGCGTTTCTGTACTAAATTTGAACCAATCAGTTAATAATGTGAATGTTTGTTGCTTTACAGTTTAACATGTGCATTCATGTTGGTTGTGTTTTGGTCTTCTCTTGTATGTAACAGGAAAAGGATGTCGGTTGGGACGGCAGTGTTGCATCATGGGCCGCGTGAAATCTTAACTTACACCATGCATGATTGCTGTAAATTTTGCATAGCCAAACAACAATAAAGGACTCCTAGAAGTGTTGGGTGATTTTTTAGGAAACGAAATGAAAACACAGTGGTTGATGTTAAAAAATTACCCGATATTGTTTTTCCAGGAAATGTTTCCTATAAATAAGTTTCCATTGTTTTCGAATAAGTTCATTA